GAATAGCTGATGGAATACATGAAAGAAGGCCAATTGCGAGAAGAACAAAGAAGAACAAATGTTGTTCGTATTTATTATCGTTGAAGTCTTGTTTTACAATGAAATAAATAGCTAATTGTTCAATGAGATTGGTGAGATCTATCGATATTTGAACAATTCCCAACCAATATTCCATACGTCGTCTGTCAATCATGTTCGTCACTCTAGTAATGATGTTTTTAAGAGTAATCTTGTTTCATTTATATTCAGTAATCAAATGATGTTAATAGTTCTTTTGTTTGTTCTGATAAAACAGTAAAAGCTAATATTCATTTCCTTCTGATCGGAAGCACTTAACTCGTTGCATACATAAAAGAGGAAATAGTTGCGTGCATGCTATATTTTCTTTTAATTCGGGTAGAGTTAGACCATGTAAAGAAAGTTATCTCATGCTGATAGATCTATCTAAAATCTGTGAGCTGCAGTCTTAGATAGTCTAGTGAAAAATATTTCTAGGAAAATCATGATTATTTTTGATTCCCGACCTAAAAATCCGATTAAAATTTATAAATCGATTGAAAAAATAATCTATTACATCGATTATAGTTGATTATCTCTGTTATAATCGCCTTTTCATTGACAATCGATTATCAAGGTGTCGAAGAGTATCAGTAAGGTCTATACAGAAGCAAATCATATGGATTACTATAATTATGGTAGATAAAAATGTCATGTAATATTTAGTAAGAGAGAAATTCTAGAACAAACACGATATATATATATATATGATTATGAAACATATAAGTGCTTTTTCTGAAACATAATTTAGATTAAAGAATTCGGTTAAAATTGGTTTTCATCAATAGGAAGCACACATGATTTGAGCACAATCTGCGAGGATATCAATTTCGAAAGCACTATATGTACAAAGATGTATGATATTTAAAAAAAGGGCAAAATAACGAACGCAATTGATTAATATTGATTAAAATATTTTAATTCATTGAAGTCGATTACTGATGTAATTGCGCCATCTCAATTATGAAACAATTTATATAGCAGTTTCAAATTTACTTCGTTTGTCAGGTGGATGTGAGTGAGTGCGGGTGAATAGAACATCAACATCCACACCCCATGTCCACAATTAAGATAAACTGGCACTGTATTGTATGATATCTTTATTTCAAATGACATCTTTGAATAGAAATGATAAACATTTCCAATCTGTAACAGCCTTTGACATTTTTCGTCGATTAGATTTCGATGTCTTCGTTCGTATGATGTTGTTAATTATCTGATCTATTTCATCTTCACTCGATTTAGTTCCATATTCAAAGTAATACAGATTAAAAAATAATAATAACCACGCAATAGTGATCCTTTCTATTTAATTGATAATTGCATTGGATTCAAGATTTTCAAATGCAAATTACTATATATTGGGTATGACTGGAGAAAAATTTCCAATGATTGATTTTTTTTGTTGTGAATAGACATTATTTCCAATTTTCGATTACCTTTAAGCAAAGTAAAAGAGATTTTAGTTAGTATTCTCTTCGTTTCTTGTAGTACATAACTGAATGAATGTGTGAACAATTTTCAATTTTGATTGTACCCACAATTTCAACAGATTTCAAACTAGACTGGAACCTTTAACTGATTAATTTCGATCTTCAACTGATGAACTTCTATTAAATAGATATACAACGTTCCAAACGGCTTTAAAGAATTTATTAAGATTACGTTATACTAGTAATGTAGTATTTTAGTTCAGGTTGTACGGAACGCACTTCCATAATGTGCTACTAGGAATTTTCATAGTAGCAAAGCAAGATGATATGGGCGATTACAATCATATTTGAACCATATGAAACACTAGCACAAGACAATTACATTAATGACATGCTACCATTCGCATTGTCAAAAGGTAAACGATTAATAGGTGATACATTCATTTTCCAACAGGCTAACGCTCGTCCTCACGTAGCTCGCAGTTCTCTGGCTTGGTGTGGACAACATTTACTAATATATATCAAGATTAGTGTTATATGAATCAGAATGATGCATGAGTAAATATCAAATCAAATGGATAACCAATGTTTTACACAAAACATACTTATGATGCATTGAATGATATCATTTTTCATCTACATATATCTTAGTTCCGTCATATACGCGATAGTAATTTTTAGACATAATAAAAAAAATTTTCATTCAATCGTTGTATTTAGTTGAAACTATATTTACTTTAATTTTCAACTCATTAGAATACTTTTTTTTATCTTTCAAAGTATGAATACCAATATGATACTTCGTGTGCCACTGTCAAGATCCGTAATTTTTTTTTCTCATGTTGGCAAATTCTAACTTCACTAACACCACATTGTTAATCAAACTCGAAAGTAAATGCATACATACCTTTTTTGTCTGTTCTCCTTTCATTATTTCTGCTTTGGCAACTTTCTTTTCGTTCGCAATGTTTGTCATTTTTAACATGTTCGTTATTTGGCAATAACAAAAAAATGTTATATTTTGAAGAATAATTTTCGTTATATTCTCAAGAAAAACTCATTCTTGGTTTTTGTATTATCGAAGTTCGCTCCAGAATAGTAAGCTAAATACATAAATATTTCCTATTTTATATTTCAACTGTTTTTTCAAATGTATCTTAATTAAAAATCCTATGTAAATCTCTATCCGACAAATCCAAAAGCATTCTCATTATAAATTGACTATAGGAAGGTATTGTTTGATGAATGATCTTTTTTTTTCTTTGTCAGAAAATACGAAATTCTTATCGAAGTTCCAAAGAAAAGAACCCAATCTCGTGTGCACCCATACTTCCTTTCGAATGATTTATACAATGAGTAATCCTATTTTTATCTTCTGTTTGTAATCGGTTTTTTCTTCTCACATTTTTCCTTTCTGTCAATGGCGTGTATTTGCACATGTAGGCGAATATGCTCCGTAGAGTGTCTCACTTAGAAAAAAAATGATCGTATAAGTTCATTTGCTCTTTACTAATTTTAGAATTTCAGAGTTGCTTTTAGTATGGAACAAATGAAACGACCACTAAGCAGCATTATCCATGATAACAAGAAACAAAAGAAAGAAGGTAAAAGTCATATTTTTCTTTCTTTTTCTAACATTTGAGATTTTTATCTCTTCAGAAATATATATCACAAAGTTTGAAGATTTGTCGAATGAACTTTTATATGAAATATTTGAATTTCTGGCTGTTTATCATGTATACAAGACATTTTTCAATCTTAATCATCGATTTCATCGTATACTTATCTATTCAACTCTTTCGATCAATATCAAGATTTCATTGATGTCGAAATCTGCTTTTGAACGTTATACTACAAACATGATAATGCCCAACAAAGATCGAATTCATTCACTTCATGTATCAAATCTATTCATTTATAATCTTGAAATTTCACCGACTTACAATATATCAGAATTTGTTCGACTTGAAAGACTTATTCTTGAGAATATTGAATCAACATATCTGGAAAAAATTCTTTCTCAATTATCCATGCTCTCATCATTGATTATCACCTCTGTCAATTGTCATAGATATAGGTTTAATTTCTATAATGGTGAAAATATAAATACTATCTATCATCAAATACTTCGTCTGTCTGCGTTGAAATATTGTAAATTGTCATTGGATGGATTTTCTACCCGTGAGTCATTACCAGTTACAACGAATGAATATAGTCCAATCGAGCACCTTATCATCGACTATCGCATCTCTGTCTATCAACTTCATTATCTCCTATCATATGTTCCTCAACTTCGACGTTTGGATATTCATTCATTAGAAAGTTCTTCGAATATCCAAAAGAGAACATCTTCACATGTATTCAATCATTTGACACATGTTTCTCTCAAACTGAAATACATGGTCTTTGATCAATTGGAACTATTGATTATAGATCTCTGTTCTAAGATTCAAGTTTTACGTATTTCAATAAAATATAATAGCGATGTAACCTATGCAGATAATAAAAGATGGGAACGATTAATATTATCTCATATGCCAAACTTACGTGTATTTGACATTCGACATGAAGATTGGCCAAAACATGCTAATAATAATCAATTAGTATTAGATACACAGATCAATCCATTTACATCTTCATTTTGGATCGAACGACAATGGTTCTTCGAACATCAATGTTATCACTTAAGATATACAGATTGTACAATATTCTATTCAATAAATCCATACAGGTATCTATAGATTAGAATTTTGATTACAGCATCTTATATTTGTCCACTTTTTAGAAGAAAGAATTATGTATTATATGAGCAATCGATGGAAACAACATGTTTAAACTCTGACAAAACTAATCTGAAGTCAGTGCATCATGTTCATATTCGAAGTGAAAAGGCAATGATCAATTATATGAATTATTTTCCCAATGCCACTGAACTTACTTTGGAATATAGTATGAGCGTATGTCGTGATTCGATTTCAACTACTCTCAATAATATCCTTCCTATTCGACAACTCACTAAACTAGTCATTGGTTTCCATTATTTCTCTTTGATAAAAATAACTGAATTACTATATTTTATGCCTAATATCCAAACATTGGTATTAGAATCCATGCCATTGTATGGAAATACTAATGAAGACATTGAACAAAATAAAACTTTTCAACTTGTATCTAATCAAAATACGACTCGAGATGTGACTCTTAAAGAAGTCTGTACATTAGACAAGATTCAACTACTTCTTAAACTATGTCCACGAATGCAACATCTTGCAATTGAAACTCGCGCGAGGGATTTAGAATCACTCGTACAGTTATTATTCAAAAAAACGAATTGCGATGCTCATCCTTTGAACTCATTGTGTCTTTTAAGAGCAAGTCAATATTGGCAACAAAAATTATATAAGCTAAACCTGTTAGAAACATTAGTCAATGATTATATCTCAAAACAAGTCGGTTCAAAATTATACTTATGGTGGTAAAAATGCACACTAAACCTAACGAAACATCTTATTCTTGAATAACATTTTTTTAATAAACCAGAAATCTGATCGATGTCTGGAATTCTTGAACTTCAAATATCATTGCTTTACATTAGCCGTTGAGAAATATGATAACGCTATAAAATCATGTCTCATCAACAAAAAAGAAAACTTGCTTTTGTTGCGAGACGAACGTTATCAAAAGACGATAGTATACAATTCAGCTTCCCTTTAACAGTCTGCAGTGATATACATTACGTAATGCACATTACATGTATTATATATAGTAGAACTGTTTAGCTAAAATCTTCACTTGGAGACTAAGTTTTTCCTTATTTTTTATGACTAATGTCTAAATCGATTGATTAAAAGAAGAATTTTCAGGAGATGGAGACGTGAGCTCTTCTAATCACATTGGGTATTGAAGAAATTCAGGTATTCCGATAGATTTCGCTAAAAATTATGAGAATATTTTAGCGATTGAAGAAAAAATTGATTTTTTTGTGAATAGTCTAGAGAACTAGAAGTTTGAGTGTAGACTGTCTGGACGAATCGTAATCGGATAGGGTGTGATGGTATGTCGGTGTGGGGGTTGATGTGGATGTGGATGGGTGTAGGCGTGGGTGGAGTGTGAGTGTGGATGTGTGGATAACCAGTAGATCCACACCCACTCTAATAGACTGAATACTTGTAATGTGAATGCAACTCATTGCTTGGACTTCTTTTGAAATAACATAAGGTAAGAGAATTGATATCCAAATATTTACTGAATAAGTTTCTATTAGTTGATATGCGTTGCTGTGAATTTTGACTGATATACGGTTTCTTTTGATATATTTCTTACTAAAAGCAATTATGATTTGTTACAAAAACAACAAGTTGCAACAAGATCTTTCGAGTTACCGTTCCAATTTAGGACATGACTTGGGTATCCAACAATTGCACCACTCGTCGGGAATATCTGCAGTTCGGCATGTTCGATCGATTGATATTTCTTCTCTAAATAGATTGATCGCCTTCGGTAGTGTTAAAGGCAATGAAACACCGGAAAATCGGGCGAAAGTCATGTAAATATCGCCGTGAGTCACGAGTTTATCACTGTTTACTTTTAAATGCTTGATAATATCAGTGGATCCCATGACATTTTTACCTATTAATATCTGAAGAAAAGGATTTCTGTGGTCGAACTCACGCCACAATTCTTTCCACTGACGACCATGTAAACCATGATCACCAAGAAGAATGAGAATCGTATTGTCCAATGCCTTCCACTTATTCAAATCAAGAAGAAAGTCATAAAATTTCGAATCCAACACTGCATAGTTATTCAGTTCATCCTCACTGTGCGGATCTACAATATTGTTAATCGAAAACCAACCACCTAGGCGCATCGTTATGAAACGATCTCGAAGATAGTCAAACATCTCGTCGATGATCCATGTAGTGCCTGCAACACAACCACTTTTCTTGTAGTATAACTCAGCTGTATCACGGCCATATTCGCGAAAATAATTGCTGGCTAATACACGATCAACTCCATTAGACGGAAAATAGCTCGGATATTGGATGCTGTAGCTTTCTAGAAAACTTGTAGAATATCCAGCGTTTTTGTACAAGAGTAAAAGTGAAGTTTTCTGACAGTCACCGCCTCCATTATACACTTTTCTCATATTCGCTTCAGAATTATGTCCGTTTACATTTAGATGACGAAATTCGATCGCCTTGACACCTTGTAATTCGGTTAGCACCGAAGATGTTGCATCGATCTTGCTAAAAATTTTAAAACAAATATTATTCAATTCATTGTTTGTGGAAATAAATATCAGAAACTTCTATTCTTTCTGACTTTTGAACCAAATAAATTGTTCGATGCTGAAACAATTTCGTCTGAACAAAGTGGTAAAAATTTACTTTCATATGACCAAAATTACTAATCATAGACAAAATCAACACTTATTGTACTCGAATTACTAGTGGGAAGTAAGACAAAGCATTTTGGTTATGTTTGCAGATGCAGATAAGATATCTCTCTATCTAATAAGAAAGTTCCTACTTTTTTCGAGATACTTAATATTCATCTCTCTTTATTTCTAGTCGCGATACGCACTCAATTTTAGTATTCACTATTATAATTTTAATTAATAGTTAGTTTTGTGATGTGTACTAATATAATGTGAGCTAGATTTCCTCCCCCAAAAAGCTAAGTGGCTCATGATCGTCTTGATACATTTTTGTCGTCATCTCTTATTTGGCATAAAGTGAACTTACCTATAAGATGTTAGAAGCTTATAAGAACGTGACATTCTTCTGTATAACGTGTGTCTACCCAAGGCGTCGAACTGAATAAAAACAGCATTTGGTCGCTGGTTTGCGTTAGCAGATACTTTTGGAAGTGGTTGAGCATGAAAATGAAGAGGGTGTGGGTGTGGGTGTGGGTGTGCGGGTGTAGGTGTGGGTGTGATTGTAGGTGTGGATGAGGACTCAGGTCTTCACTTTACTCACACCCACACTCTTCTTTCATCCACTGATGGTATTAAATAAACTTTTAAAACATATAACGTCATCTCACAGGCATATTTCTGAAGCGGGAAAGGAGTATTTTTTTCCATATAGTAAGGAAGAAAAGAATTCAGTGAATCTCTCTATTCAGTATGAGCGATGTGAGATATTGTCATTGGTTTTGTCATTAGTGTTCTTGAAGTGCTCTATGACTTTAAAAACGTTTCGTCACGAGCAATTTTCGTCGATGTAATCTTAATGTCAACTACAATGACAATGCAGTAAGGGTGAATTCATGGTTTTTAATGTTCTGTATGAGATATGAGATAAGATTTTTTTACACAATCATCGTTCTCCTTCTTTATTTCTGTTTCATATACGATTCTGCAACATTTTCGTGTGCCTGTGAATAACTAAAAATGAAACTTGTTCTTCATTTTCTGGTACTGATTGCCGCTTGTGCATGCGGTGCTGATGGAGCGCATGCTCATGCAGATATGTATCTCGCAGGAACAAATGATTTCATTGGAACGATTAACTTTTATGAAGGGCAAGAAGCTTGGGGCATTGTCATTACTGGTTCTGTTAGTCGTCTAAGACCTCTAGCAACATTAGTAAGTCTATGTTTTGAAGAAAAAAGCGTCAATTCAATATATTTCGTTAAAGTGTAGCATTTTATAATGATTCTTTATCTTTCCATAAAAACAATGATAGATTATTATTAAATCATCCTTCCCTTTCCAAAAATATCCACATTGAAAATTCTCTTGTTCAATAACAAACTGCTAGGTATGTAGTGATTGTATTATTACTCTGTACTGGTAACTTTGAAACCAAATATATTTAAAAATTCTGGAAACGGAAAGTATTGTAAACTTTTAACATAAGAAGAGTTTTCCACCTACTTTTCTGACTCATTTCGGTTTAATCAGTAATAGTCCGTTTTAGAGTGTATTGAAATGTTATTTCTAGCAGTCGTATATTTGTTAGATTGCTCTTTAACCACAAGCCCGCACTCTAAACCCAAAGAAATAGAAGCAACAGAAGCTTACTGTTTATAGAAAAAAAACTCTTTTAAATGTCAGTACAATAGAATGTTTGAGATGAAAATACACATTCTTGAATCGGTTCATCAGAACTATACAATACCAAAATTAGTTCTTCAACAATTGTGATAAAAACTCTCAATGAAATAAATTTCTATTAGGGTTTTCATATCCATTCTTTACCCATCGGAGACAATCATAATTGTACAGCTGGTGGTGCTCATTTCAATCCCTACAGTAAGTTTAGGTCTCTATAATAGTGTGATGATCTTCACACTTTATCTGTTATGGTAGATGTATCTCATGGGATGCAAGAAGATTCAGTTTTGGAACGACATGTGGGAGATCTGGGCAATATTGAAGTAGATGCTGATGGTAATGCCCATGTTGTAATATGTGATTGGGTTATTTCGATTGGATTCAATAAGACAAGAAATGTTATTGATTTACCTCTTATGATCCACAATTTGACAGACGATGGAGGTCACACTGGCCATGGTGAAAGTAACATGACTGGGTAAGTATTTATATATCGAATTGTCATTTTTCTTTATTAATATCTTTATCGAATTCTTAGAAATGCTGGTCCTCGTATAGCATGTGGAACAATACGTCTTGATTAAATAATGTCTTTTCATTCTGTATCTGTCTATCAAAGCTTTTTCCTAAATTTGTTTTTCTTTTTAATAATCATTACTTGATTTGAAATAATAATGATGATGATTTTCTGAAACGCGGAACTATTGGTGAAATAATCAGCGTGCAATTATTTATAAATGTACTCTTAGCTCCGAGTGTGGGTGTGGGTGTTCACGGAGTGTCCGAAAAGGCATAGGCTGATAGAACACACAATGCTCTTTCTTTTTTCAAGAGTTATCACTATGTTAATATTTGAAATAGTGGAAAGCATTTGTACGACATTAAAAGTAAGAAAAATGACCATTTTTTCCCCTAGGCCTATTACCCCTGTTGTTGAAATGTACTTCAGAACTCAACAAGGGATGGTCAGATCAAGCTAATATTTTGGATTTATTAATAACTCTTAAAGGCCTTTCTTTTTGGAATATCAAATCAAAAATCAAAAATTTTCCCCGGTCATGATATCTGTTATTCTGGCGGACCTTCTCTTAAACGGTAACATTCTCTCTTCATACCATTATAGATCTTACTACTATCAAATGAAATCTTTAAAAAAATGGTTTTTATTCGACCATAGAAATTAATGAAGATGACAAATGAATATATGTGCTTCTTGTATAGATGTGATTATAAACATTGCTGTACATATGTGTAGATTAATATAATTCAGTACTATTCAATAGTTAATAAATAAAACTTCATAGAACTATTCTATATTTATTTTATGAGTAACTAACAATACATAAGCTAGACAAATAATGCTTTTTGTTCTAATATTAATATACTTGTCTAACCTTATCATATCTTTTTTGTTTA